AAATTAACGAAGCAAACTTAGGTATAAAGATAACTGTTTTTTAAAGATTGGAGAAAGTTCTTAACACTGTCTGCTTATGGCTAGAAGAGCACAGTTTCCAACAAGTCGAATAAGAAATTGAAATTTGAATTTTTTGGAAAAAATTGAAATCAGTAGTATATGTGTACAGTTTGCATTGCAGTATGAGGAGAAAACAGAACATTCGTACTTTCCTTTTTGCTCTCATTAGCAGATGCCAAAGCATTTGCAAAATTTGCCTCATAGTTTAGAATTGTAGTACAGCAATGCAAGCTACTTCATTCGCTGAACAATATATTTTAGTTTTCAGCTCGCAATGCTGATGTCATTGTACACTTAAATAAAAAATTTTGCTTAGTTCTCAAAATGATAGTGTTGACTGCATTAAGTGATTTCTTAATCATTGAGCATCGTTGCCATCAAAAATTATTTCCACACTGCCCATGAGAGTTTGTAAAGATCAAAATTGAAATTTTTAGGTGAACCAACACATGATTCTCACGAATGTATTGCAATAAAGCAAGCAGAAGAAAATCATGGGAATTCTGACTCTGAGAAGGCACAACAAGTTTGACATGCAGGGACTGTCGCTTTGAAATCTGTCTACTAATTTCGCTGTAATTTACACGTTAAAAGACTTAGTCTGTAAGCATATTGTTTCCCAACACTTCCACTACGACTTCCGCAATACAGTCTGAGAGTCCGGCGAAGCCGGACGATCGGACTGGTCTTGAATAATACGAGAATGATAGCAAACGGTAGATATAACAGACAAACAGTGACACTGGTGTTTCAGAGCTGCAGATCACTCAAATTGCAGCTTTACCGCCAACTATGTACGCACAGAAATATCTCAAGCTACCATAACAAAATTTTTGAGAGATGTTCCAGTTTATACAGAACACAAAAAACTGCCACATCTCTCCCTAAGGGCCGCATGCATTTACACCTCCGCCGGGGGAGAGGATCGCAGCTTACAGAAAAAGCTTCATATCCTGAAGCTCCGAACTTCTGAATTTCACGCTGTCTACCCATCTGTAAATAATCCTACCATCCTTCTCCATGAATATATTGAACAGGAACGACAATCTGTACAAGCCGCAATTTCTAGCATTTTGTATGATCCCCTGATGATCCCTGGCGGCCGACCGCCTTTTCTTTGAAGTAATTTTTTTCTTCAAAGTTAACAAAAACATTCCAAAGTTGTCTGTTCATCCAGCCCAATAGTGCTACTGTTGCTGATAAGAACAAATGATGTATTGAAGTTATGAAATTTGCGATAAACCACGAGTTGAATGTTGGGGTTTATCGAAAAATTCGATTTTTCAAAAACTCATCTGTTCTTATCGGCAACATGTTTAACTAGTACTGTTGTGTTAGATGTTCAGTACAACTTTGGAAATTTTTTGTCAATTTCGAAGAAAAGAAAGTGACTTTGAAGGAAAGGCGGCGCCGGGGATCATCAGGGTTCATACAAAATGCTGGAAAATGCCGCTTGTACAGCTTTCCGTTCCTGTTCACTATGTTCATAGTGAAGGAAAAGAATACTTACGGACAGGTATACAGCGTGAAGTCCATATACCTGGGGCTTCAGGATATGACTTTCCTTCTAAGCTGCGATCCTCTCCCTAGGGGGGATGTTAATGCATGCGGCCCTAAGAAAAACAATTTCGAATGAAATTTCTGCTATGAAGAAAAGAAGGCTTTGCAGTTGCAACGATACAAGCGATATAGATGTTTGAATGTTCTGAATGAAGGCAAGTTAATGGGGTTTGGCACACCCTCTAAAAATGTGTGGCCGCCAAACCTTTTGAGAGGTTGTGCCACACCCCATTAACCTCATCAAGGAGAGTTTTAGAATACATTGCGCATATCATCTAGTAGCTCAAACCTCGTACTATGCATAGGGAGCTTGATCTGTCCTCTTTAGAATGAGTAAAAGTTGTTGAAAACACAAACATTGAAAATGAAAAGGGGGACAAACAAGAGTTTGACTTGCCTTTGATTCTATAGTTTGGCGTTCATTGAAAGTGGAATTCCTCTTGTGTAAATAGCAGGAGTAGTGCTTTGTAATAAGTGCAAAAAGAGGTGGATAACTTACCTATAAGATGTGTTAAAAAATCTTTTATTTTTTCTTATTTGGAGATAAACTCATGGTGCACCTTTAGAGGAAGAAAAAGCAAATTAGAATAAGCACAATACCAGCCAGTCTCAACCACAGGGATACTGCGATATGTGAAAAGAAAAACAAACCAAAACGAATTAAATTAAATGCAACACATGGATGTTTTTGCTCAAAGAGAAACTGAATATCAGGAGAGAAAGTTCATACTTAAGAATCTTGTTTTCTATCTTTCCTAATTGCTCAATCACACGGTTATTCATTAGACGGAAGAATCAGAGTTCACTGAAACCTGGCCATAGGGGTTATCCGACATGCTGATTACGATAATGATACTTCGGTGGCAGGATATCCTTGTTGAATTTACGGTAGGTATACGGTATTTTGATATGTCGGTGTCTTTGAATGTGCTTCGATTATGTCTAATAGTGAAATATTCCTTGGAAACAGTCTTTACCTTCATTGATACGACCCCACCCCCCTGCTGACATGCAAAAACACAATCTTTCTCGCGCGTCATCCACAAAAATCTGAGTTTTTGCCATTGAGTTGTAATGAAATGTCTTGGTTACAGCGCACACACAACGATATGACTAACAAGGAAAGGATACTTGGTGACCGTGGCCTTTTGAAATGAAAAGTACACCATTAAATGCATCTTGAAGCGCTGATTCCAAATCTATTTTCATTATCTGCTGTGCGCTATTTTGGAAGAAGTTATGAACATTTCCTGTCACCAAAATTTGCACTGTTTTTGATGCAGGATTCACCAGTATCGTGAGGACGTTCACGCACTATAAAAGAGCGTACATTAGAGTAAAGCTTCACGTTAAAGGCAGTGTCTCACCAAAATTTAGTTGCCGAAATTTTTGCATTTTGCAAGCCTGTCGGACCCTGTCTAGCACTGTATGGGCTCAAAATCGCACGAAGTTCCCAAAAATCCCGTTTTCTGGAGGCCCCGCGGAATCATCGTGGACGAGTTGTACCTTCCAACTTCAGCCTCAGCCACAGTGGCAGCAACAGAGGGGAGGTGGATACCAAGTGGAGGGACATGTTCAAACGCGTAAGGGGGGAGACCGAAGGAGTCGTCCGCGCGTACCAACTCGCTCTCCGCGTACCACTTTGAGCGAATTTTTCTCAGCGTAGAGAGGGTCAAGTTGAGTGGGACTTGTTGCAATGGCCTATCTAGAGGTCCCTATGATAGAATATGTAAAGATCCCCGCGACCTCAACTTTGGTGAGACACTGCCTTTAAGCTCAGGAAAACTGTCACCGATACATCAGAGTCTAAAAAGCCTGGATAGTGACGATTTTGACTGCCTAAATCTGGCAAAATCAATATGGAAAAAAGTTCATAACTCTGTTCTGGGAGTCGCACAGCAGATAATGAACACAGATTTAGAATCTGCACTCCAAGACGCACCTACTGGTATACATCTCATTGCAAAAGGCCACGGTCACCAAGTATCCTTTCCTCGTAAGGATATGGAAGTATAAAGGTACATGGACTAAAAGCATGGAGAGTTTTGTGGAAAAATCATGTGACTGAAGTTTGTGGCAAGCTTTCTTCTGGAAAGTTTCCACCACCACTAAGTGATAAAATGGCTCGTTTGACGCACAGACGACAATATGGCACAAAATTTGGTGTGGGTACGCGCAAATGGACTAAGGAAAAAAGTAATGAAAATAATGAAAAAAATGTGCGAGTATAGAGCGTGCTTGACTTTCTTCTAGATTACGGAAATAGCCATCTAATGCACACTTGAGATGGGCAAAACTTCAAATTCACATACGTTTCGTAAATTTTTTACATAAATCTGTTCTACACCTCAAGTTTACTATATACTAACATTAAAGTTAAAAAAACTCCTCGTCCCCTCCTTGTTAGGATCCGGAATAGAAACGACGCCAGTCCTTTAGAGGTAGAAAGCCCCCCCCCCAATCGAACAAAGTCAGCTGGTGGGATCAAATGCAAAATCGCAAAAATCAGGTAGCAAAGCACATTCGTTTCACAAATGTGTACTTGCCATCCTTGTGGCGGACCCTGGGCATGGCGGATGTCGTACGTCACCTTTCGTTATCGATCGACATGGATTCTATAGATTTCTTGCTAAGTTTGAGTTACGGGACAGGGAGTTGGCATACGGGGGTAAGCATCCTGACTACGAATATTTTATTGACAGGGCCCGAGTGGAGCCGGTTTGCCAGCTAGTATACTAAATCATCCTTGAAAAGATGGTGTTACAAATCTATATTGAAAAAGAAGTATAGGCTGCTGCATGACGAAGGCGCTAAACTGTGGACACGAACGCGGCTTCACTAGCCACAGAGCGCATGAGGCGCAGGATTTGTAACGGTGAAGATAAGCGCACGCCGCGTTCGCGCCCGCTTAATTGATACTGCTTTTGCGCCTTCGTTCTTGAGTAGCCTTTATACCTTCCATCATATTGTTAATGACTCAAAATCATAATGGTGATCAACTTGATATGGTAGATGTCAACCCACTGACAGCATATGTTCCCACATAGTGTTTGTGTTTAGCTATATCCACGATGTCAAGGTATCCCTCCCCCACTTCCCTCCAGCGTTGATTTGTTCGGGTCATTGGTGCAAACGCACATAAAGCACAGAAATCGGATGAACTCGTTCCTGGGTCACTACTTACGAAGGAAAAGGCAGTAAAGTACGATTTTTTTGTATGATTTTTGGATAATTTTTTGCATACTTTTGGATGTTTTGGATGTTTTCGTTCGATTTTTTGGCGCACTTTTGTGTATAACAACAAACAATAAACAATAAAGTAGTGAAAAACGTGGATGATGATCAATTATTTTTTATTGATCGAAAAATATACGACGCACAGTCACATATCAATCGTACAGAACGATATCAGTCGTATCATATTACACAAAGAACAATATCAGTCACTTCAAGCTAAGTAAAGAATGATGAGGACGAACGACGATACAGTATCAGCTAATCAGACAACTAGTGAACCTAAACATTATTAACAGGAGACGTGAACTTTATGCTTTCCTTCGTAAGCGCAGCTCTAGCCCCATAATAAGCTGAGTATCGTGAAAGGCACTATCTAGAATAAAGTCAATCAATAAAGTTGTATGACTAATTATGGAGGTGAATCGAAATCCTCATAATGAAAATAATTTGTGACACTACTGGGATTTCTTCCAACAGAAGATATTACAGAGCGCGATTATGTGAACAATGAAAATTTTCAGAGCATCCAAGGAAGATGCTCTGACTACTGAAAATAAGAACAAACTAGTTGAATAAAACTCTTGAAACACTAGTTGCCCAATATTGTTGAACACCATTGAGTTTTCAGAAGACATAAGTCTTCTGCTGCGAAGAACAATAATTTCGAGATTTTGGAAAAGACAAATCCAACTTCCCATTTCACTGACGTAGAAACAAAGAATGAGAACGAATAAGAAGATCTTTTTGGGCAGAGGCAATAAACTACCGATGAAGAATTTTGTGACTATGATTTTCCTAATACGGGTTACCAATTGAAACATAACTACATGGCAAACTAGGTGAAATGCTGACCTGCCCATTCGGCATTGGTTCGGGACCTTGTCTGAAGCCGAGGAAGACGACGAAAGGCACGAATCCCCATTGAATTGCGAACGTTGATAGTTCTACCGCTTTTCCAACGAAATGCTTTTGTGCTGGGCTCAACTGCATACTGCTCCTGCTCGTTTCTTGATAAAACACTGATTTCAGGCGTATAGTCGTAAAGGCAAAGTATACGTGTTTTGACACCATTCTCTCAAGGCAAAAGTATTGCGAAGAAAACTCTTTACACCGCAATATAGCCCAGATGTACAAACATGCACATGATCACAGACATGAATAGGATAGAAGATATAAATAAATAGAGATTAACAAGGTTAACCACTCATTGTCGAAACTATGTTATTGTATAGTGAAAATTATCAAAAAAAAAACCAACAAGGGGATAAATCTAAGCTCCAATTTAATTACTCTAAATAGCACCAACACGATCTCGTGGTATCAATCGCAGCTCACTGCCGTGTTTCAGAAATATATTTCCAGCTGATTGTGAAGGATTTATACCAATTCCATCGTTAGTAATGATTGCGGAGGTTGCTGCGGGTACCTGCAACGTTAGCTGATTATGACAAACAAATACTGCTTGGTGATGCAATCAATCTTTGTTCAATTTTTAAATCTGTGCTCAAGAGCCGGCAATCAGTGATGAGTCAGACGCATTCGAAGCGTCTTCCCTCAAATCCTGATAGCGCCATAACAAGCATGAATTGTTCTTTGCTCGAATCTCATTTCTGGGATTTCTTACCGCGTAGTAATTGATACACAGTATGCGTGAAAATTTGGCATTGATTTGCTAATAATTCAATGTTTGATATCACCAAAATCTACGCAATATTTATAATAATAATGGTCATGGCAACTGGGTATAAAAGCTAGCCGAGCTCTTAAAAATGTACACAGACCACAACACAATAAGGAAAATGACTAGGTATACAGTGCAGAGCTTTGGCGAGCTGACAAACTTGTTAAACTTCATTTTAAAGCACTATACTTCTCTAGCCTTCAGGCTGCTTAGGACCTTCAGGGTATGTCATTGGAAATCGGTATCTCACTTCTATGAGACCAAGAAAAAAAGCCCGAAAATGACTGTGAGAAATGCTAATCATATGGAATCCTTTTCACCTGTCATAGATGTCTACTCAGTTAGTCAACTAATATCAAAACTTTGTCCTGACTCCGTTTTGTTCCTTCTCTTAGACGGAATATAGGATCTCCAGACTCTCCCCGGAAACTCGGTAAGGATGGAGAGCCTGTGAAATCCTGTGTTATTCCTTAAATATCCATATTCAAATAATTTTATGAGAACTGATGTTAAAATAGGGGAGGCGACCTTTTCGCAAGCAGTTTTAGTAACAGAGTTGATGAAGTGTCTAGCACCACGCAAACAGCAATTCTTTTCTCTCAATTCTGTTTTGCTCAGGCAAAAGCAGGGTAAGATCAGTTGAAATCCCCGTCAATACATTTATTTTTAAAAAGGGAGAACCATGAAGAGAAAACAAAACTAGGGAAATGCAGATGGCGAAGCTTCTGGGCTCAAAGCTGAAATCAAAAGACGAATTGCATTGCATGCCGCAAAAGATAACCGTAATCTGCGTTGCACATTCACATGCAAGTGCTTGAAGGCATAGGCACTAACGCTAGGCATGGCACCGTTTGACAACTAATTTTGTAGTACTTATCACGCCTGCTAGGTAAAAAGCAAAGTCTATACCAAGTCTTCCGGCAGCATGGAAGAATTCAATAGTTAATGTAACTTGGAGTGCGCGGAAAATTACATACCCAACTTCTTTGTAAAATAAACATGCTTGAACAGGAGACGAACCGAGTAAGACATAAGAAAATACGGCCATAACAGAAAAAGAAGGTACTGATATAGTAGACACTCACTTTGAATTCCTCTGCCGCAAATTTTAGTACAGCGGTAAATGGTGTTGATTCCGGAACGGATAATCTTAAACGAATAAAACAAATGAAAAGATATCAAAAACTTGTTACGTAAACACTTACACTTTAAATGGCAATTTCGGATCGCTAGTCAGTGTAATTTTGAATGTAACTTTACTTCCGCTACTAGCTACCGGTACGTTTTCACCCATGTTGCTGAAATAGAAAAGTTTGAGATACGTGACAAAATGAGAAGATGCTATGATTTGCAAGATTTCAACAAATTTGAACATTTTGTTAGGTAAAATGGCAATTTATAAAACAGAATGGAACAATAGCGGATTAAAGAAACTGCACAAAGTCTTGGAAAATTTGGAACACGCAACCACCCAGAAGAAATTTGGCAAAGTTCCACGGCAACTTTCCTCTCAGGACGCGCGGTGATGTAACGGTCGCGTCCCTTTACTCGAAGTGCAAGTTATATGAAGAGTGAGCTTTCTGGTCCGGAAACGGGTGCAACGAAAGAAGTTGCTGGCCTCAATTTGTTGATTTACGTGAAATTGACACAAATCGTGTAGTAGCACGGGCAATCGCCGCGATTTTACGTCCCCAATGCGGTAAATCTCATGAATAGCGCATTTGTGTTTACAACGGCCGTTGGGAGATTCCTTTCGATGACGGAGCGCGACCCAGTTGGCAACACTTGCAGAAGTAGCTCTCGACCTTGTTATGAGAATCTTACTTCTCTATCTAGCCACGGTTTCGGGGTTTGTTTATTATTTAACTGTTGGCAGCCGCATCCTATACCGTCCTTAGCCATTCAAAACTTCCAGGGCTGCTTCTCAATGTATTTCCATAAGATGTAATTCTACAGCTACTACTACTCCATGTTCAAATTGTTCTGAATGCAGAGAAATTGGCACTAGGTGAGGTTCAAAGCCCTTTTAGTTTTTGTCAATGGTTCACATACCATTAGGCATGGGCAAATCTTCGAGAAACTGGTTTATTGATGCCTTCACATCATGTTGGACAGAAAAAACACGCTCGGTCAAACACGTCTGTCTGTCTGCGCTTACACTGCAATTATCTGGACGAACAGTTGCCAATTTCTTCGGAATTCTTGATGCTTTTTAACACATTCACGACAATACGACCCACCGGTGGGTCGTACGTGTTCTGCCATTTCGGACAATACGACCCACCGGTGGGTCGTATGCTTTCTGAAGTTTTTGATTTTGCTAATACACGGTGAAACTTTTTAGACAAACCGTGTAAACTTCTGCATACACCTCTTGGACTACTTCTCAAAAGATTAACACTTCAGACCACAGGGCCCATCAGTGACTTGAAAATATTCCGCAAACTCAATTTTGCGAAATATGCTCTGGTCCGAAATGGCAGTCAGCGAAAAATCGGCCCTGTCGTGAATGTGTTAAGCTGGCACAAAAATGGCACAGAAATATGGCATAAGCATAGAAGCTATTTTTATAGCAAGCTCCCCCTATTCTGTCACAAGCTTTATTGGCTTGAACTGGTCTTGCTGGTTATATTCGGCGTCACAGTTAAGGACCTGTGGTGCATTTGCACCAAAATCAATTTGTTGGCTCCGCAGTAGCGTACAGACCTCGCTTTCCCCCATTTTTTTATTTTGAAACTTTTATCCTAATAAATTTAAGACTTTACGGTTGACGCAAAATACTCAGACAGTTAGCAGTTGACTCATACCGATCGTATTTATGTTTGGAAAAAAGGATAAATATTATGTGGAAACTCTTCGCATGAAGCATAGAAGCTATTTTGTATAGCAAGCTCCCCCTATTCTGTCACAAGCTTTATTGGCTTGAACTGGTCTTGCTGGTTATATTCGGCTCACAGTTAGGGACCTGTGGTGCATTTGCACCAAAATCAATTTGTTGGCTCCGCAGTAGCGTACAGACCTCGCTTCCCCCCATTTTTTTATTTTGAAACTTTTCCTAATAAATTCAAGACTTTACGGTTGACGCAAAATACTCAGACAGTTAGCAGTTGACTCATACCGATCGTATTTATGTTTGGAAAAAAGGATAAATATTATGTGGAAACTCTTCGCATGAATAATTTATTTATTGTGCAGCACCTAGATAACGTCTGACGTGAAAATACACTTTTTTCGAACTCCCTGATGTTTTTTTTTCGTAAAGCCAGTTTGTTATTCATTTCAGTTTTACTTCGTCAAAGAACTCTCAAATGAGACAGCCTACGCTTTGTTTGTCAGAATTTTTGTTCGCATAAGATGTTCACTGGGAAGGCAGCGGGAGATTTTAATTAAGGGATCCTCCAAAACCTCAAGAAAATATCAGCCAATATGTTCTGCTGATTATGTATTAGTAAAAGTGTATTAGAATTGGTTAAAAGTGCTAATTGGTGAGCTCTTTTCGTTTATGACTTTAAAATAGAAATTGGTTTTATAAAAGTTCTAGCATAGCTCGGCGTTTTGCACTATTAAATATAAGCAGTCGTTCAATAAGGGATATTTTATGCTGAAAGTAGTGATGACTTCACCGGTTCAAAATTCAACAGAATCAGAATTTACAAAAAATCTACTTAGCAGTCTTCGCATTCTAGAGAGAATTCGTGGAGCTGACAACTTTTTGAAATCATTCCTCTCGCATTGATCACAGTTTTATGCCCAAATGAAATTTCTCATGAAAGGGCAATAATCGAAACTTCTTTCGTCTTTTTTTTGCCCAAAGAATTCGAGAAATCCTCGCGCTGCTACGTTCTCATCTCGAACGTCATTTGATTAGCCAATTCGGCGTCATCATGTGAATGGGGTCTTCCACATTTATTTTATCGGATATGGGAGGTATCTCATAAATATGAATGGAAGTGACACATCCTTGAAGATATGTTCATTTGAGGGAATGAAGGAGAGCACATTTTTTTAAATATGGGATAATTCTATAAGTGAAGGGCATCAATTGATTTGAATAGCCTGAATAGTGCGAAAATTCATCCTGCATCTTTGAGAATTAAATAGCTTTTTCAATATATTCTTGATGTAACCCTACACTTATTTTTGAGCTAGTACAAAAAGAAAAAATTCTGGAAAATTGTTTCTCTCAAAGCTTCAAATTGAACGTACTATTTGACAAATTATTTTTAAAGTATAATTTTTTAGTTATTGCCTTTCTTCTCGGTTACTGAGGTGCGGATGCGCTACAGGAGTCCCAAATGATTGCAATCGAGTTAACGCCCCTCTTTCTGACGACTACAAAGTCTGCAAGGTCAGAGGTACGTCGAAATTTCTGAAAAATATAATATCATAATAATATAATATAATATAATTTAATATCATTTCATATAAAAACTGATGGAACGTCCACTGGTTTTGATACTTTTTCAAAATTCCATAGCAGCAAAGCTTGAAATTCGTGAATAGAGAGGGTGAGAAGAAAGAAAAAGGAAAAGAAGAGAGAGACTAGAGGAGCAAGAGGGAAAGAGAAGCTCGAAATATCTGCGTATATTGCTTGTTTAGAAATTATGATCTTTTACTATTGTATACTATACTTAATCATCCAATTTTTCAAAAAAAATTCATAGTCGCTGACATTTTTAAAATGTAACCAATCTATTTTTACAGAAACAGCAATTGTTCCAAGTCCTACCGTACACCCACATGGTACGACGTCAGTTTCAGTGGTTGTGCCTCGATTTTTTAATGAGCCACCATTTGACACCTTGAAACCGTCAAGATTAACGCTTTTGGCTGATTTTGCTACCAAGGTAGGAGTGAGAGAATTTATTCTGAATTATTCTTGGGTTAGGAAAGTTTTTTGCTTCGTTCTGATCATAGCAAGATTTTTACAATTTTGCAATTTTTCACAGAAGGAGATCTATTTGAATAGAGTTTATATATCCAGAAACCACCCTTATGCGAAGATCATCCAAGTATTACTGCACAGAAATGGGGTAAAAATCATTGCACACTTCGCGTTCGTCTCGCCATGCCAGGAATCGAACACAAGTCTGATGATGTAAGAACTCTTTTTGATAGGTTTTTTTTCAAGCGCGCCATCTCATCTGGTTTAGAACTATTACTACGACGATCAATCACCGCTCGAATCGGAATTCTCAATGGACATGTTCGAAAAAGCGGAGTATGTGCGATTTTTCGTACAAATCAACGTAGAAAGACATTTGAAAGTGAGTTATACTACTACGGTTATTTTACCGGGAAAGTATCCAAGTTTTTTTCACAACCGTAAAGTCTGCGACTACATTTAACAGGCACGTGCGCTTCAAAACTTATTTTTTTCTTTTCTTAGATTTTGGGAAATTCTTCCCCATCTTTCCTCCGACGTTTTTAAAAATTACCGAAAAGTCAAAGGAAAGCGCTTGAGTAACTCATTCTAGCCTCGACCGTTTTTTAGGCTTTATAATATAGTCGTCCTCCCCCCACTAGACACCTAGTGGACAAATTCGAATTTGAGCTAGAGCACGCCGGTTGCGGCAGAGCGCGGCGCCTGCAGCTCGTACTTCAATCTTAAACAAATTTTTTCGTGTTTCCCCTGCGTTTCAACTGATTTTTGAACGCTAGCAGTTTTCTCAGTTGGTGTTGAAGTTGTTGCTTTGCTCGAGCGATGAATACCAAGCTCGTTTCTTTGGCTACGATTCCAAGTTGATTTTGGGAAAACGATAAGTTTGAAAACTTGTGAATTCTCGGTAAGTCTTAACATTGTCTTGCTTCATTGAACTTCGGGTCAAGAACTCCCCATGCGCATCCTTTTTTCCTCACCTGAAAACAGAGTAAAGAAACGGACATAGTAGTACGAAACATCGCCAAGCAACAATAAACTCTTCACTTCTGATTACAACCGTCATTAGAACGAAAAAATCACAATGTGTCGACGATAAAAACACAAAAGAATACCGAACTAGCTTGAAATGCATTTGACGGTGTCGCGCTCTACCGCAGCCGGCGTGCTCTAGTTCGCATTCAAATTCGTCCACTAGGTGTCTAGTGGGGGGAGGACGACTATAGCCGTAAAAGGGTATGGTGTCAAGATTTTAGAATTCGGCGTAACATTGGGAGTATTCGATATACAGTGCACATAAAGCTTACCCGCAACAACCGATGTATGGTTTTCTCACCTTAACGTGCAGATCAAACTGCTCAAGTGCCGTGAATGTAAAGTGGTATCGTAAAAAAAGCTGTAGCGAGGGAAGGATTGCACTTCGCAGTGGCAAAAAATTTTTTATGTTCAAATGCGTCTTGATGAGCTGATTACAAATCTAATTTCGATATTGCTGAACGATTCTCTAGAAGACGTTATTAGCTGCTAGAAGAAAGTATTGCTGTTTTGATGCATAACTCACTCAGAAACTAGATGGTCCGTTTTTACGTCGACATGGCTACAACCGTCGGCCCAGGTTTTGGCTGCATAGGAGAGCGCAGGAGAACGGTTCAATCCAAATGGTGCTCGAATCCGGGTCGGCCAGTTGGTCGGTGGCTTCCTGAAGGCTGCCCAGGCTGCCTTTCTTTTCGCGCTAAGTTTTCCCCTTGAGTTGTTCTCCGTATCCAGCGAACGTTCAAGAGACGACGTCTCCATGAAAGGTGGTACTTTTCACGTTTCCTCGTTTTCGCAAAGGATGTTCTTCATAGACTGAGTTTTTTTCCGATTTATTCGCAAACCGATCTTCTTCCCTGCTTCGTTTTGTTTCTTCAGCATCGTCTCTGCTTCAGTGGTACTGCCTGAAAGGGAACGATGTCGTCCGCAAAACGAAGGTTTGACGGGAATCTTCTATCAACTCGTATGCTTCCCTCGTCCCAGTCCGAAGACTTCATCATACTGCAAGGCGAGGTGAACAGCTTCGATGAGATTGTGTCGCCTTGTACCGTTTTCTTAACTGGGATGATCAAGGGCGATGGAATAGCTGGATCGTCGTTGTACAGTCTTTGTAGCAGTCGGCTAATGTATCACCTAAGCTGGGCCAACCTTGATCGACTAGCGCTGACATAATGGCGCTGGTTTCGACGCTGTCAAAGGCTTTCTCGTAATCGCCGAAAGTTAGGACGAGAGGCAGGTACTCCCGGCAGACTTCTATGACCCTCGGCCCTTGGATGAGTTACATGAAGCTGAATCCTTTGCGATATCCAGCTTGTTCTAGGGGCTGGGCTTCATTTAGTATCCTAGATATCCGAGCGAGGGTAATCATCTTGAAAAACTGTACAACACACTCAGCAGGCATATTGGACGGTAGTTTCGATACTTCCTTTCGCCCTTGTTGAGGAGAAGAACGATTCTTGAGTTCTCCACTAGTTGGGCATCTTTGAAAGCAAGATGTTTAATTCAGCGCGAGAATTTTGTTTAGACGTTGCCCTCCAGCTAGCGGTAGTTCGACGGAAGGATGATCGCGATACGTACTTCAGCAGGTAGAATTTGTGGTGCTACTTTTCCAGTGGAAATTATACGGGCTTCTGCACTGGTGTTTATGAGCAGAAGCGGTTGGTGTAGAAGTTTTTATTATTATAGATTTCATCTTATGCCTGAAGAAGCTGGAGTCTCGTTCACTAATGCTGCCAGCGGTAAGTGATGTTCACAGAGAACCCTTCGGCACTTCGACTTTTCTTCCTTTGGCTGCTTCCAGTATTTTGGCTTTCCTGTACTCCTGGGACCCTCCTACAAAGCTGTACTGCAGCTAGCTCTGGCTATCGATCGCTTGAGATGGGTTGCATTCGGATCTTGCCTCAGTGATCTTCTTTCGAGTGGTTCCTTGGTGATCCTCGAAATGCGTTCTAAGTTCTTCACAAAAGTAACTGAGGCGCACTCTCCGCAGGCTCGCAATCCTTTCAGAAGCCGGTCGTAGTCGTACGTTGGGTCCTCCACGGTGTGCCATTCGCAACTATGAGCTCCTCTAGCTTGTTAACGTCATAAACGACATCCTCCCTTCTTGCAGCACCGGCAGATTTTCTTTTCCAGCTTTCGACTGAATCGTACCTTCGCTCGAAGGAGGCGGTCAACGAGGCACTGCAGAATGAAGGAACAACTGAGACATCGCGCAAGCTCCATCGTCTGTTCTGTTAGTAAGAAGGTAAGAACGTGGTCCATCTCCGCGTGAGTCGTTCCGTAAGGCAGTTCTCATGACCACCGGCGGCTCCTTCTTCACGAAGATGGAAAATCCATGAAAAACCGTACAACAGAGAGAAGCCCAGCGAAAAGGACGCCGTTTTTGTTCTGGAGCCATATCCAAACGTCGCGATCCTATATTCTTTTCTAGTAGCATCACAATTGCGTTGAAGTTGCCCATAAACGTGTAGAAGATTTTGCTTTGCGGACAACCTCCTCCACGCCTTAGTAGAAAGCATCTAGTTTTGATTTGTCAGGTGCTGATGTTGGGGAGTAGCAGTCAATGATGCTGGTGGTCTCCTGACGTGGAGGTCGTAGTCGTAGAATGGCTAGTCAAGGTGTTAGAATCTCATCGAGTAGACAAGATGGACGATAGATGGGTGGACGACAAAGCCAAGGCCTCAAGCCTCCAACATTTCGTGATGGAACTTTCTCACCACAAATGATGAGGGTTCACTCATCTATCGTACGCCCTTCTTCATGGACTTGTTTCCTGCAGAGCGATGATGTCCGAATCCGATGTGCAAGGTCCCTTTCTCAAGTTTTAGAATTTTTTCCTTACAAAAGCAATTTTGTTAGGCCTACTCTTGCTTTCTACAAGGCGATCGCTAATCTTGGGTGTGGGGACCGCTTAGCGATCAGAGAAGCCAGATGGTAGCGGGTTCGGCCTTGTCCGCTTATAGCTAAGCTTATATATAACTCGGTATAACTTTCTAGAGAAGTGCTCAGAGATAGCGGAAATTAGATTTGAAATCAGCGCAACGAGACGCGTCTATTGATATACATTTCGTTTTGAATCGCCATTTTGGGATGCTTCTCTGGTACGAACATGATATAAATGCTCGTTTTGGATTGTTGTCGGAAGAGCCGTGGTAGTAAAACAGCGGCAGACGTGTGCTCAAAGGAATTAGGAGACATCACCAAATAGGTTGGGTATCGATTGAATATATGATTACAAGCATGAGAAGCACATGGTAGGCATATTACCCATCCATAGCACTCAGCAACAACGGAAATAGATCTTTGCGTTTATTGTGTTTTCGATGGTTGCTGCTGCAGTGCGACCATACTAAATTGAAAGTCGATGGCATTTAATTTGAAGTCCAAGTGGCCACATCAGGAAGCGACTAGTAATAGTTCGGTATCCGGTATTGGTAAATGGTAATCAGTTTAGGCTAGAGTTGCGATTGCTTCTTTCAAATAAGTTTTGAACATGAAGAGAGCTTTTTTTAATTCCATGTAGCATGCGAAAACCCGCTTTCATTCAAAGAGAAAGAAATTTGTATGAATTTTTGCTGGTGAGAGATCCTTCTTGATAGCATAACTAACAGATTTCTTTGCAGTTGGCACGTGAAATAGTGGTGTTCACTGCACTTCTACGTTCTGATGCCGTCAATTACAAGCTTTTAAGATCTCCAGCCACCGCCACAAGTGAGTTTTTGAACTTGAAGGTGCGAAAAATATGAAAAAATATGAGCAAGCTAGCGATGTGTTTTGTTATAGTGGCAAAGATACCTGCTTAAATTACTCTGAGATTGACTTACGTATTTTATTGTTAATCACCAGATCTTTCGCGTTATATTATTCAGATACGACATCCCGATTCACTCAATCCAACGCTACGATCTAGTGCCACATGCGGCGAGCTCTCATAACGCTTTTATTATTTCAATTTGCGATGTATCAATGTATAAATAATTTTGTCCGGATAGGAGAGACAGTTGACAGCTGTGAGGCTATAACAATTTTTTGATGTAGCAGCGTCCATAGGTTGAGTTCTCTTCTCAAACATCTTTTCCCTCTTCAACGTAGCAGCATAATTTAAAAGTTTGAAATTTCTACATGACAAGCGAGGAGTTTATGCGGGTTTGGGTTCTATACGCAACCTCATGCATGTAGGATCTTCTGGGTCAGTCGCCGAGCGATCTATGAGTTGTCGCTAGCTTGAAGAAAATATTTAGACTGTAGTCAAATCTGGTCTTCTTGGTTTTTCAAAAGCGGTCCCGTATGTCTTCTGAAGACAAAGCCGCGTTCCCTTTGCAACCATGGCAGCCACGTCTGAGTGAAACCTAGCCATAGCTTATATGTGGCACGAAATGCTCAAGTGTGAAGACCCCCTCAAGTCTTTGATATTAAAGGTTTGGATTTCAGACGGACGTAATCAGAGCTTACTTGAATTCAAGCAAATTTAATATTCGCTATTCACTCATTTGTAGCAAAGATTATAGGAGCTCCTACTGAGGCTCAGCAGGGTTGGCGTCTAACGTCATTTCTCTTGTAATAGGCAAATTAAGTCATTTCTCTAGCAACAAACTAGCACGTTGGAAACACGACAAGTGCATAAACCGTGTACAGTCGACTTCAGCTTGTTAGAACACAAGTTTTATGTGCAAGAAGATGAATAATCAGTTGTTTACAAGGAGCAAGCATAATCACCAAATTTGGTGAGCACCTTTACGAGAATGATCGAAAGAAAAGTACGAAAAAATTATTCAAAAAATTATGTGAATGGAAGGAGCTGTAAAAATTTTTTCTATTTGGGTTACTCCCGCGCAATCTGGGAGCACCCTTAGATTGCGCGGGATCAAACAAAATCATATATTCTCTTCCTCCCTCATATAAATTTTGGGGGTTTTCTACATAAATAAATTTTTCGAAACAAGCTCTATCTATGACCTCATCGTAAGCTAAGTTTCGTTCCCTCTGCTCTGCCACGGCCCTCGTTTATATAATGTCTTTATTTTCGCCTTTTGCTATTTAATAATTCCTCTGTCTCCACCTTTTCCATTCGTTGTTTGCTGCGAAATATAGCCGTATTACTACAAACACCCCAAAAGGTCATTCCTAATTCTCTGAGATGTAAAGGGGACTTCGTTTATGAATCTTCAAATGCAACCTTATGCTGGGGCCTGTCCTGCTCTGTTAGTACACTTGGCTTACCCGGCTTCGCTCGGCCCTGTCAAAATAATATGATATATATAAAGATCCTAGCCCTATCCCTGTACAACCTTTCCCTGTGCCCATCTCTACATGCCAATTCCCTATTCCCGTGTTAGTAATCAGCATGCTACCCCCTGTGCCAACTCCCAGCCCCGTAACTGAAACTTTTCAAAAAAGTCGATAAAATCGATAAAAGTCATGGGTGATTTTAAAAATTAGAATTGTATTTGCAATCAGCATGCTCGATTAACCCCCTGCGCCAATTCTCAGCCCTACAGGTCAAACTTTACAAAAAATCGATAAAAGTCGATAATCGATATCAATCGATAACGAAAAATAGCCTATGACGCCCCCCCCTACTTCGAAGTGTATGTGTGCCAAGTTTGGTCCGGTTCGGTTCAAAATAAAAATTTCTATTTGGGACAACGTACAGACAGACACACAGACATAAAACAGACATTTACCTTGAAGGCAGTGTCAGGCTAAACCTAACCCCCTCCGATTAGAGTCGATCCTGAATGTAGGCCCCAGAAAAGGGGCATCTGCTTTGGTCCGGTCTTCTAATGTTGTCTCTGAATGGAGATAAGGGGCCTGGAAGTCCCTGGGTGGGCGGAGTCTGATATCAGACTCCGCCAAGCCAGGGATGCCTCCCGACACGTATTAACATGGTAGTGAGCAGAAGCTGCACACTTCTGCAACTTCACCCATGCAGTTGCAGCTCCTCTCCGCTAGCCTGCCGACGGGGACGAGCGATTCGAAACTCGTCCGCGCCCTCAGACAGGGTCCCTAAGAATCGGGTTTTTTGTGAATTTTGGAGAGTTTGAAGTTCGGAACTGTAATCAGGGCCATGGAAAGGCCCCAGAATGACGAAAACATGGGAGGCCAAATTCTGGGTGGACACTGCCTTTAAGGCCTAAGGCATACCTCTCGCGATCTCGCCAAATCGTTATATCCACGCGATTTGGCGATTTGCCAGATGTCTATAGATTAACCATGCGTGGGTCTCAGATGCATGGACGCGTAGATTTATAAGTCGTAGCAATTTCACCAAGTCTGGCTTAAGCAAAGTACATTTACGACCAGTTATAAAGAGTCGTTGGAGTGCCAGATCGCGCAGCGACTAAAATCGCATGAGGTATGCCTTAGGCCTTATTATAAGATAATGCCTAAACGGCTTGATAGACTGACACATACTTCGTTGTCAAATATAAAATCAGCTGCCGTTAGACGTAAACGACGTTGCGCTTTTGCAAGATAAGGATCTCCAACCAAAAGTGTTCTACATTTTCTGGTGTTGAAGGGTCATTATGTTTTAATTATCATTTTCCATTGCGATACTAGCTGAACGCAGCCCAACCACGTTTCTCTGTGAGGTTCTGTGATTGTCACTGTACCGCATGCAGCACAGCTCAAGGCGATTACGGCCACATGCATATCGATTACAGTAGTAGTCTTTGAACGCAGATTGCAAGTACTCTCTGCACGGAATGAGATAAGTTTTTGAGCAGGAAGACGTTTGAGTCGAAAAAGAAGGGATGTTCAGGCATATATGATCTTTAAATGATGAGCCAATTTTGGAGATGGTTTCTTTGTACAGGGTGCCCAAAAATGTGGACATTGTTATATCCTCTAATGCTGACTTTCTGTAGAGCTGGCTTTAACTTACTTAGATTTACATTTGGAGCGAATCATCTATCACTCTTCATAAGTGTAGACGGTGGGAACCTCGATGGATTTCTGGCCATTGCCTCCAAAAGAAAACCAAACAAAGCCAAGTCTCACATTAGGCTAACAGTTGCTGATTCTGAGATTTAGGTTTGCACTCAACTGCGATGGTTCTTTTTCAAATTACTCCAGTTGAACCGTAAAAAACAATGTTCACATAAAATTGATTACACCCAAAAAAGCCCAAAAAAGGGTAAAAGATGGTGTAGTGAAGTCAGCAGGTGCGAAACACTGTCACACAAATTATGAGATTTGAGTCTTGTTACACGGCCTATTTTATAATGTTTTTGTCTGGAATTTTTCTGTCGTAATCCTTCAGCAACGAAGAGCGATCGTTGATTCGCTTCATACCGTGAATCTAAGTTGAAGTTAGCTCTAGAATGGTACGCAAAGATCGGCAAAAGGCATTAGTGCAGAAGAGTTATTAATGATCAAACTTTATGCATATTTTATTGAGACACTCAGTATAATGGATATCACACAGTGCAAATGCAAGTCATCTATCATCTCGATTCCTGACCATGTTTTGCAAAAGCATATACTGTATCGTCTGTCTGTCTTTTTTATGCGTATCAATCTCTTGAGATCTAATTAACACGGCTTTTGCTCAGTCATGGGGGCGGCATTGTTTTTGTAGTGATCATTTCGTGCGGTATGCATTCCGGCAACTTAAATTTTTTTCGGAGGTGTTTGTGTGCAAGCACTTTTCAAAACTAGGATACTTGAATTAAATTGCCATATTTATGCTGTAGTGTGTAATCCACGTCTGAAAAGCTCTTGTTGCTATAATTCATCAGCTGTCTTTTGCTTTCCTGCTAGTTTGCCTGCATTAGCAGCTGCCAACGGTCTTAAAGCTCACTAACAAAGTCTTTTAATAGGCGACTTCTCAGTCCATCACATATCTACTACTAGCAATGGATCACTTTTTGATTCATGGGGGACTTCCTCTGAAATACCAATGCACGTGAGTATCTTTCTGATCTGGTTGGTCCGCAACCATGGTAATTTCAGAAATCGCTCGCAAACTCATGAAATGCCCAACGTTCCTCTCGGAGTTTACTGTATTGTCTTCGGATTAATAGTCATTGTAAGTTCATTAGACAGCATTCAAGCTGATTTTTGCCGTGTCAGCGCCAATCCAATGTAAGACCTCGATTAATATGGGTCGCGTCCACGTGGATTTCGAAATGGCGCGCTGGCCCGGCGCTGGCACAAAGTCAGCACGCAAGCAATTCTGAAAGCTTTCTCACCAACAATGCGATAGTGCACAGAGAAGATTGAACCACAAAGTGCAGTTTTCAACAACTCCTTTCAGCCTTTATATATGCTGTGCTTGTCTGCACTAGCTGAACGCGATCTTCGCGCTATGTTTGTCTATAAACTGATGATATTCCTCAGTATATGCGACATCGGTATGCTGTTTCTGAACTCATTTATCTGCGGTTTTTTCTTCATAGAGGGGGTAGTGTACTGCAAATACCCTACGCTGATCTATGTGCTCGGTTGCGCATCCAACGGTTAGTCTTAGATTATATCTTGGACAGATTTGATTTGGATAGATCTAGGTTGTTGGAACGGAGCATGCATAACTTGCTTCTTTTTGGTCTCTACTCGCCTTATCAATCTTTGGAGTAGAAGACTGCATGATACTCTGTTTGGAGGGACTCGTGCCATTGTTGTGGTCGTCATATGTGCATGCTATGGGCTAATGTTCTTCTTATTTCCAAGTCCCGGCTTGTTCCATGCTAAATATTACGGTCTTATATTTGATCCTATGATTGACGATGGTAGTTCAATCTTTGCGGTTTGCAACTTTCATTTTTGAAGTTAGATACCTTAAGCTCAATGATTATGTTACACCGCGCTTGTTAATATTCTATATCGCGCTCTAACCTACCAATTAGACATATTAATTGAGCTCTATGTCAACGGCGTTTCAGCCCCGTTTCAGCGCCGTGCAGGAACCTACACGGACTTCTTCCGTACTAGTCGATCAAGGCTACGGCACGAGCAATCACGCAGCCTAACGCCCTCTTCCTCAAGCTATAAAGTGGAAGACAACTTTTTCAAATGTTAAACTTACAGGCTGACTTATCCGAACTTATTGCAGTCAATAATATGCTAACAGTTACTCTCACATTTGCACTGTACTTCGCGTTTTTCTTTTCATTTCTTTACAAATATCATCTTACGTTCGGATATAGAATGTCCTATCATGAAAAGCAAGTAAGGCTCACTTTGATTTCGGTTCTTGTTTCGCTAGCTAACAAACGTGATCTTCAGATATTCATCCAAAGCACTGCTATCTCTGCTATCAATCTTACTTTGGCACTAATTTATGTGTATATGTTATACTTTCCTGCACCTATCACAATGATTAGAGCTACTTTATTTCTGTGGCATTTTTCCACATGTGCGTGAAATCAAAAGTTTGCACAACCCTAATGTCAGCACGGGGTCTTTTCAGCGGGCGCAGTAGTGATTTATCTTGGCATCAACAAAACTGTTCGGGAAAAAGTTCTTGCAAAGTTGACAAAGAAAAGCCCATCAAGGAATATATCTGTGGCTCTATCATTCAAGCAGTTTCATGGCAAGTTTAAAACAATTGAAACAGCGCTCAGAATTGCGGGTGTGCAAGCACCGTGTTAAGGTCGTGCCGATCTCAGTATAGGGGCCTGCAGGATCGCGACAGTCGGACATGCGTACGGCCATTGCGCCGCGCAGGTTTGATGTCACTAAGTCAGGTGCCAGACTTATCCGCTTCAACCGGTTCGTTCGGTTTATAGGTCAAATCACTACATTTTCCAACGGAAAAGGTGGTGAACCGAATGAACCTGTTGAACAGGATAAGTCTGGCACCTACCTGAGTCGCCGGACGCGCATCTGACGTGCGCAGCGCAATGCCGGTACGCACGTCCGACTCTCGCGATCCTGCAGGCTCCTGCACATGGCGCTCCATGTGAAATGCGGCAGATGCTGGCTAGCACGGCGCCGGCACAAATCTCGCAACAAAATTTGCTTACTTAAGTAGAAATTTGCTTACTTAAGTAGCTCATATCATCCACTGCTCATCACGACATCACATTCATGCTTTATTGTTCAGACACGACAACCAAAGTCAATCGTCCCAAATCTACGATCGAGAAGTCAGGATTCGCATAATGCTTGCCTCAGTTCCTCAACTTACAGTTTTATTGTTTCGAATATCTGCAGATTATCAATGTATAAATAAATCTGTTCAAATAGGACCAACAATTGATTACAGTGGTGACGATAGCTAACATAGCAATTTTTTTCGTGATACATCGTGTGCAGATAGGGTTCATTTCCTCTCTTCGTCGTTGTATGGTGCGCAGACAATTCCTCCATTCGCACTTCGGCAAAGCAGCAAATCTGAATATACGGCTATCTTAGCTTCCGAGTTGCTTACCTTTGAACTGCGATTATTTCTCAGTTGCAATCGTAATATCTTTACAGCAGAATCGAATATGATTTGCAGAGAGTGGTAACATGCTGGTTGGTATTTTGATGAACATCGAAAATCATTGGTAACATTGATATAATTTTAACAGAATTATGTTCTTTGATATGCACAGTTTTGCTTTTTGAAAAAGAGTTGACCTCTTACCAATCTGATGTAGTTTGAAGTAAACGATTCAATTTCCCCTAGGCCATTGATTATGCACAAGAATGCAGTCTCTTGAAAAACTATCCAGTGGAGAGTCATTAATGAAGATCCAACAAGCTGGAGCTCAACTAAAGTGCACAAAGCCCGGAAGGAGAAAGGCACGCCAAAAAACCTTGGTGGTGGTGGAATGATGAGGTGCATTTGTTATAAAAGGCGTTATGACAACACACAGAATATGGCAGAAGCTTAGGACAGAATATGCTCATTCGAGTTATCTAGAAGTGATACTTAGAGCCAAAGCAAGGGTAGAATCGAAGGAGCACATGCAGTAGAACTATAGCGGAAGTGCAGAATCAAGTGCCACAAAGGAGGACCATACGCTACACTTTTACACTTTGAAAATGAGCACGAAAAAGGAAGCCGTAAACGATAGTTGGAAGATTCTGAGAGTGCGTTTCGGAGATATGGTCAGCTAACAACAGACATGCGTCCATCATGAAGCCGAGCTTTTTGATGGACCATTACCGGCTATTCCGGAAGAGGTTCTAACGCCATGATGAAGATAAAGGAGATGGAAACTTGACGGATTTAAACGACTTTCCAGCTAGTTCTGGAGAAAGTGCGATTAGGTTTGTTTCAGTAGCTGACGCTTCTTCTGAACCAAATAATAGAAGCCAAGGATGCGTCAGATGACTGACACAGAATAACAAATACCAATATTGAAGAACAGGGATGACCTAGCTGATTGCTCCATGCTCCGGAACCGAACCATGTGCCACACACTGAAGATCTCCTAAAGAGTACTACAGACGTGAAGCACGCAAAGCTGACCCTCAACTAATGTGGATTTGTGAAGAAATGCAGTATAACAGATGGCAGGAGATTATGGAAAGAAGCAAAGAGTTTCTTGATCTGGAAAAGGCACTTGATGTAGTACTGCACAAATATGGTGGCAGTGCGGAAGCATGAGGTATCGAAAGACGTTCGGTGGATTAAAATGACATACAAAGGAAGCATTAGCCACAAATGAAGAGCAACAAGACATTTAGACGACTTCCACATCAACATCGCATCATCAAGGATCCGTGTTTCTCGCGTTCTTCTTCATTTGTGGTGAACATGATATTCAAAAACTATATGTATCTCCCCCTATGCGCAGAAGATGTGACATGACAAGAAGCAGGAAAGAATCATAGACGGGTGTACGATGTCTCGTTCAGAAATGGATCTTGACATTGTACGCCTGTGGCGGTAGTCAACAACGAACCCAGTGGGTTCCGCTATCTATTGGGTAAGCGGAAACAGCGTCACTGGGTTGGATCGATATTTACGAAAAGCCCATTGGCTTTGTGAATACCGACCTCGTGGTTAAGCCTACCCACTGGGTTCCGGAACCCATTGGGTTTGCTGATGAATACGGCCACTGAAGACGAGTTATCTAATTGGAAGAACGCAGCACGGCTATGGAGAATCCTTACAAATATTCTGTGCGACAAACGCATGGCCCTCAATTTGAGATGTCAGATGTATTATCTCACTATAGTCCATACTGCTCTGTTTGGTGTGGGTCGTGCACAGGTGAGGAGAAACAGAAGCTCGGTGTGAAACGCGTATGCTACGATGGACGATAGGGCTCACCACGCTCATCATATCACAGAAGGCATCATACGAACAACGATAAAAGTGGCCTCAATAATAAGGAAAGTGCAAAAAAGGCGACTCAGGGGCGTGGGAGAAGAGAAGGAAGATAAGCATTTCTTGGTCAATGGGGGCTTCAATAAAAGACCAAAACTGCGGCCGACGATGGACAGGTAGAGTCATAGACTTGAGTAAACTTGGAATGCACGCTGAAGCCTTTCCACGTCAGACAATTTAGCGGAACTTCCGCAGGCCAAGCAAAATTTGTAGGTGTTCCGCAGGATTTGTTTACTATTGCAGAAGTGGAAACGTCAAAAGAGGGAACTTCCGTAGGATTTTCACGTCAGAGTGGTTGAAAATGGGAATTTCCGAAAACCTTCTTACAAAATGCTGCTGAAATTCCGAAAAATGCCAGTGGTTCCGCATCACTTTGAGTGGCCATTACTTCCGCAGGACTTCAAATGTGCTGTCTTTTACGATATTGCTTCACTAACAACTAGAGATTCTAGTCTAGAGTGCATCGTTGAACATGTCATCCGTAGTGCAGTGGATAGTCAGTGAGTCTAGTCAATAGAGCAACGTTCGAATCTCGCTAAGGTGTTCTCTTTTGCTGTTGTGGTTCGCATTCATCAGAGCTTCTGCAGCACCTTATTTGGAACTTCCCAGTACAATTACGGTACTTACGCAGGTGACCGGCGAAACTTTCCTAAACGTTGTGCGGAAGTTCTGATCAGATGTCTGAGATAGTATCATCATGGTATTTTTCACTGGAATGTGAAAACCTCTGAGATTGAATAATGAAAGTAAATTCAAAGATCAAGGTTTGAGAGGAAGGAGGATGAAAGGGCTCACTTCCTCCTTTTCCCGATTTTATTCTTATAATAGCACAGTTCTTATAGTTGGAATAACTCATAGCAACTCACCACTGTTGGGATTTTTCACTCTTGTGAGTGCTCGTTTTCCATATCGAGACAAGACGGCGCGACCATATCTCGAAAGAAGAGCCGGCCTTTTAGCCACCGGTTCGCTGGCCAGAATCAAAGCCGCAAAGCAACACGCAAGAATGAGTCGGAGCCAGCCCTGCATTGTGTCTGGAAAACTCCAGAAATTTCCAAGTTTAAAAAAAAATGATGACGGTTCGAATCCTGAAAAATACGTCCATACGCAGAACGAAGCGTTATCGTTATCAATGTATAAGAGAAGAAAGAAAATGGTTGAAAGCAAGAGGATATCTTCTTTGCGAGGAAAAATAAAAGAGAAAAACAGAGTGTATTAGATTTCTGGAAAAAAGCTTTATCCAAAAATTCAGATAACAAGCAATTTCAGTTTTTCTTTTATGCTCTGGTACCTTGTCTTCCTACCAAATTACCCTTCTCATGTTGCTTTTAATGCAAATATTCACACAATGATATTCTATACCAACGAAAACACCTATGTTTTGTGAAGTGGGGAACACGGTATACTTTGAATTATTTTTGTTTTTGAAAAAATCTATTCAAAATTAATGAGTATTCTTCTGGAAAACTCAATCTCGAATTTAGTCGACAATAGATTTTTCAAGGACTTCTATCTTGTTTTAATATCATTTGCTCAAAATCTAGATAGCTAAATTTCTTCGATCATAGGAAATCACGTTCAACTAATTACTTTACTGTCTATCATTAGATTGAAAACATGCGTTATACTCAGCACAAAATACATTGTCAGTTTTCGAACGAAACGCTGGAACATAATTTCTTCAAAATTCAATTATTGACTCTTACTGACAAAATGTTGAGTATGTTCTATCCATGGTTTTGAAGTTTTTGATTCCCGCGATATTTATTATTCATTTGTTGACCTTTTTCCTTGAACATGTCCGAGTATTCGAAAATCTACGAATTTTTCTAATATTTTTCTGCAGGTGACTGTTTCTCTTTTGACGTATCTCAAGCAGTAGCACTAGCCATCGAGGAAAAAAATCGTCTAATTTTCGAGAATATCTCTGCAAAAAGACGTTACACCACTGTACTGCTCAAAACAGAACGAAAACCAACTGCGTCATAATTTGGTTAAAACCCTTGAAAAACATTTTATATCTAGCAAAATCTTGAAGAAATGTTTCTTATACAGAATTTTGGTTGTATTGAGTCAAATGCAGTCATTTCTCAATTACTTTACTTCAACAATGATGCTTTCACCAGAAATTTACTTTGAACAAAATCAAAAGATTCAAAGATAGAACATCCGCAAGTGTTAGAGTTGGTAAACGAATCAAATATTCGACTTGGCATCGTATGGCAATAGTTCTATGAATACTTGAGCTAAGCTGTCAGATTTATTTATTGGGTTGCAAGAAAAACTAGCTTACCATAAGCATGCAACTTACTCCAAAGGTTTTTTTTGTTTCTGGGAAAACGGACTACATACTGTTTTACTGAAGTGATTTTTAACCTAAAGTGTGACTTTGCACACCGTGCGCATCATCTCACGACCTCAGAGGAAAAAAATCGGAAAAAACCGTTCCAATGGAGCAAATGCTGTCAATCGGTTATTCGCAGGAGTCTAGACCTAGCCGAGTTCAAAAAGCGAACGAAAAAAATATATACAAAAGGGCGAATTTTAGTCATTGGCCAAGTTGCATATCGTGGTGTACATCGCCCCTAGACTATGGGGCTGTTGGCCTCCGTTTCTGCAAATTTATACTAATCTTGAACCAAACGTTTTTTGCTATGCTTCATAATCAAATCATAAGCGCAAGAGTACGCGACAAGCTTTTGTTTATCGGTGACGCATTAGGCGGAACAGACTATTATGTATCAAGCGCTTGAACATACGTGCACAACTACTATTCTATGCTGTATGTCTATCATCACAAGCATCTTGGTCAACGATAACAAATTTGAGAGATAGTGTCAATTTTTTTCAGTCCTTCTGTTGGCGACTGTATATATTAGGTTGTTGCAAAAATAATATCCGTTTTTCTAAGCCTATCTTCTGAACAATTTTTTTCCTTCAAAATTTCTTTTTCGATATAGATTCTGCATATCTTTGGAAAGCTTTCTTCATGTACTTTCTATTAATTGTGAAATTAAGCTTCTATCTCATCTGTGAGAATTTCACCAGCATCTCATACAGCTGCACTCAAAATCAAAAATTCGTTGCTTTGACTCCCTTGGCCACAATTCAGCCGTAAATGAACGGGTTCTTTTGAAAACATAGCTACTGTATTGGTTGAACATTGTTTACCTATAGCATGTTTGAGTAGATTTTTCAAAAATATCTGAACCGAGAAATCGACGCCCCGAAATAGGTACTCGGTGCCGGCATTCTATGGGTCCAAAGTTTCTCATAAGTAGGGCAATCGCCGAAGCTTCGCTCATTTCTGTATGCTTGGGGTCAGGACATCTTTTCTGCAATTTTTGCAGAAAAGCTTAACCATTCAGTGTATGAAGAATTTCAAATTTCCATAGTCTGGGACTTTCTGGCCTACCACAAATAGGCTCGAAAAAGTAAACAACTTTGAATTTCTATCTTTTCTTTTCGCAGGATTCCTTCGTTAAAGTCTTTTCTGAGCAAAAGTATACTACTGGCTTGCGTCTACAAAATAAGCTGATTAGCAGCCAAAGGAACAAACTTGAAGGGGAATTGTAATCTCTCAAAGACGAGGTCTTCAAAAGAAAAACTTTCGGCCTTTTGACGCATAGTCTTCTTCCCGTTTGTGATATTAGTAAATGCAGATGCGCGTTAGGTTAAGAAAGGTTTACTGCCTCATGTGGTTTTGATTGCATTCGAAAATATAGAGACTGAACAAAGTTATAGCCTTTCAAAATAAAACTTTGCAAAACGGACATTATTTTTGCAACAACCTAATATTAGGTTGGTCCGAAAGTTCTGTCCCACCATTTTCAAAAAATCATAACTTCTTTCTAACTCGGTGTTTTTGCATGTCTAAAACAACATTAAAAAGAACAAATCATGCACTTTCTAATACTATGTTGGCTGCTATCTACTAAGCTCTGGATGCAGAGATAAAATTGGGAAAAGGAAATTAGTTCAATTTCGGAATTTTTAAGCAAGCCCGCTAAAAATTCCAAAACTGTGTCAGAAAATCCGAAGCAGCGAGTATCCTAGACTATTTTACCACCTCTTTCTGGCTGAGCAAAGTTCGCGCTGATCGAGCTGTTCTTCGAAAAGTTATGATTTTTTGTAAAAAATGTCAAAAAATCATTTTTCTTAAGAAACTGATTTTTTGACATTTTTTCTTGAAAATCATAACTTTTCTAGGAAGAGCTCTATCAACGCGAATTTTGCTTATATAGAAAGAGAGGATCAGAAAACCTGGAATACTGGCTTTTTTGGGTTTTATGGCACACTTTTGGATTTATTGACGGGCTTGCTTAAAAGTTCCGAAATTGGAGTGATTTCCTTTACCCAATTTTATCTCTACATCCAGAGCTTAGTAGATAGCAACCAACATAGTTTTGGAAAGTGCATGAATTGCTCTTCTCAATATGGTTTTAGCCCTGCATAAACATCGTGTTAGAAAGAAGTTACGATTTTTTAAAAATGGTGGGACAGAACTTTCGGACCAACCTAATAGTTAATTTGAAGTGTAAAAACGCCTTGTGTTGAAGAACTTCGCGACCGCACGCAGCTACTTGATTTATGTGCTTCGTTTGTGTTCTTGTTATTTCGCCCTATAAAAAGTAAGTAGTAAGTAGTGACCGGAAAGGTTCGTTATGCCTGTTTTGGTGAGTTTTACTCTTCATGCGAGGTTTCCCATTTTGTTTCGTAAAACATGAAATAGTCAAAGTGTTACACACTCGCGGTGCGTGATGTCGCGACGCAGCTCGGTGGGAAATCTAGGTAGGACCTATCACTGAGGGTGCAGTTAATCATCGCAACTTCGAGTTGTTTATCTTCAGTTTAGGCAGACTTTTCATGATTCTTGTGGGCAACAGTAAAGTGCGCTCAATTTCGGCTCCAAAATAGCGGTTATAAAATTACTTGGATTTTCGCGAAAGCAATAAGAATCTTAAATTGACATGAAAGGCGAATTAAATAATACTAAGAGAACTGGATGTCTGCAAAGAAAATGAAGCGTGTGTCTCACTGAGTTTTTAAATTACAGATAAAAATTTTCAACATTCTGGAATTCTCCCAATTTTGGAATTTCCTTTTCACAAGCGGAGCAGTGAAGTCTGTCTAAAGTAATGGGAAGATACGTAAACATCTCAGAAATTTTTCCTGCAGGTCTCTATTTAGTGCCTGTCTCAATATTCTGGAATCTCTACCTCATCAGTTTCACAAAGCATTTCGCAATTTCCAAAAAGGAAGGATATTCCCAACTCTGCTTGTCGCAATAGCATTGATTAAGGCAAGAGAGTGTAATTCTTCTTATAAAACTGATACGGTGATTAAGCTGAAATTTTAGTGGAGATAAAAAACTTACAAATGTTCTCTTGACGTCACAACAACTATAGTCATCACCAAAAAAACAATTCACGAAATTGTATGGAATTTTCATTCATAATTAGTAGTGTTTGTCCTACTAAACTCAAAAAGTATCGGTGATTTCATAAAACGAAATTTAGAACGGTAAGGTGAAGTGCCTTCACTATTTTTTTGCTACTCTCCTTGGAAAGAGGTTTTTTTCTGCTTAAGCGCATTGACACAATTATTAGGAAGTCATGTCATGCAACTGAATTTGTAAATATCGAAGAGAAGCAACAAGTTGTTTGGAAAAACAGTGTTCTGGGAATTGGCGTGAGGGTTTGTAAAAGAGCTCCAGTAACCTAACACATTAGACATTACACCTTGCACAGCTTGATAGAATTTCCAAATTAGAGCATATGCACATTTATCAAATTTTTTTCACCGTTTTTATAATTCGTTAAGGTAATTTGGTTTCAAAAGAATCTTTCAGTGGGTAGTTGGAATATACATATATATAGTCTGCTGCATAACGAAGGCGCAATATCTTCAGGCGCGCACGCGGTCTTATTAGCCGCAGAGCGCATGAGGCAGAGGATTTACAACGGTGAAAATACGCGCACGCCGCATTCGCGGCCGCTCAACTAACATTGCTTCTGCACCTTCGTCATGCAGCAG